ATCTATATCCTATACGTCATGATAGAATATAGGGATATCATTCTATATAGGATATATCTATATCCTATATCGAATGATATCCCTATATTCTATCATGACGTATAGAATACTGTGCTATTTATAGACTAAGGTGAAATGAATGACTGGGCTAAGAAAAGCTGAGAGAATTAGAGAGGGTAGGGAGATGTTTCCTTTTGGTTTTGGATATATTTCCAATCCAGAATAGGAAAGCTCTGGTGCTAGAACAGGTGTGGGTGATGAGCAGCCCTGCAGAGTTGAACGTGGGAGTAACATCCTTCAAGTGTAAAGGGATGGGGAAAAAATTGCAATCACAGCTCTAGCCCCTTCATATGTATGGAAACAGTAAGGGTGTACTTTTCACACACTTCTCCATTTTTAAAAAAAATACATGATATAGTGTAATACATGGGTGTCAAACTTGTGGAGTCACATTGCCATATTGCGATGTTTGACTCTTTCCTGGAGCTGGGATGGGCATGGCCTGCACCTGGTGCATCCGGCCCGCAGGCCGCTTGTTTGACACCCTTGGTGTAATATATCATGTGTTGGTGGTGTTCATCTGAGGTTGTATTTACCCAGTTTTAAGCACTGCTAAGCACCAGATAATTTTTATGTCCTCATTTATGCCATGGAACTCAAATAAGCTTTCTTTTTCACATGACTGTATGTGTTAAATTATTGCAATACAGAATTATTGAGCAAATTCTTAGAAAAATGCCTCTGCTAGTACTGTGAAGATTGCTTATGAAATATTTAATAGTATTGACCTACTAGTATGCAGGCATCTGGTTGCTGAAGGTACTCCTAAACCATTTATAATATTCAGTGTTGAATGTTATCTACACCTAGATATACATTACATACACAAAATTTTCCTACCCTATTCCAACTAGTTCCCATTAAACCCATATAGTCCTATGTTTTTGAAAAATTAATCGTTATATTTCAATAAGCATTTTTTCTCTAAATATGTTTATATGCTCAGGTTTATCATAGTAATAATTACACTGTATTTGGCAAACATTTACAAACTCTATTTCTGAATTTTAATCAAGTTATGGCAAGAACACTTTGTTCATAGTCAGTTAAAAGTGAATTTTTGAATGTATGCAAAACAAAAAGAGGGAAAAAAGTACAGCAAATACCAGTTGTATTGAAAACAGCAATGCAATTCTATGCATGCCCACTTAGAAATTGTAAAGGTAGTCCTCGACTTACTACTACAATGGAGCCCAACATTTCTGTTAATTTTGCCCCATTTAATGACCTTTCTTGCTACAGTTGTTAAGTGAATCACTATAAATGTTACGGCAGTGACATGGTTGTTAAGTGAATCTAGCATCCCCATTAATTTTGCATTATAACATAATAAACCTTAATAAGAGTTGACGCTACAAAATTTAAAGGCAGGCCATTGTAGAAAGAAAAGTCCATAACCAGTGCATATTATCATTTTTCGTGTCTATAATTTAAAATAATATGACAAATTATGCTTTTTCCTCAATTTTTTGAAGTAGATATTCCATTTGTAAATTTAGATTTGGTTGTCCTTTTCTAGTCCTTTTACTTAATATTTTGTATGTTTCCATTTTCTTCTGTTTATAAAGCTTTTGAGCTTTCTCTCTTTCTTCTCTTCTTTTTTGGGCTGCCTGAAATAAAAAACAACCAAACTAGAATCATTAAGATGTACTTATTTCATTCCTTCAGCTATTTCATACTATGCATGCTACATCAATCTTAGCAACTATATACTGTATATAACAAAAAAACAGCATCTATCAGCATATATTCTGAATTCTCATTTTACTCATGACAGAGCATGCAAGTGTTGACATACCGTATTTTTCAGAGTATAAGATGCTACCTGTGGAACGATCTACCCGTAGAGATCCGGACCCTTCCCACTCTCTCGGGACTTCCGAAAAGCCACTAAAACCTGGCTATTCCGGCAGGCCTGGGGCAGTTGACTTCATGAACAAGGTCCAGCCCCACCTAGACAGAATGTATGGTGTGT